ATCTATATATATCTATATATATCTATATATCTATATCTATATATATATATATATATATATATCTATATATATATATATATATATATATATATATATATATATATTACTCACAAATTAAGCTTGTTCATATAGGCAGGGAGCGAGCCGTTTGGCACCGAGTTGCCTGCGAATCTATACAAAGTCTGACATTTCGTTCTTTCTGCTTCTTTAGTTACTTGAAATTCTACGATAACAAATTTAAAGAATATGAACCGATAAGCAGTGGTATTCCGAACACCAAGTCATTCACTAGCAGTACGAGCGATGAATATAATTACAAGCCCGAACCCATCAGTTAAGTTGTGGATGCATGTTTATTGATGGGGGATGTTGTTGTTTTAATGAGTAGAAAAATTGTATTGCTTTATTTAGCTTGATCCCTTCTTAACAGCAAAAGATAACACAAAAAGATTATGGTTTTAGCCCTTATGATAGTAATTTTAATGTAAATAATGCCATGGGAAAACTAGGAAACATTGTTGTGGAAACATTTGTGATTCTCGTCGTTTCCAAAATGTTGACAAAACATCGACGAATATATCGCGAAGAGCTACAAATATGTGTATGGCTCGGTGTATGGGATAAAAACCAAACATACTTGCAGGTTCGGTGATTCCTGGATTGGACGCACCTCGGGTGGCTGGAAGTTTCGGGAAACTTTGTTATAGAATTCAGAAACATTTGATTTTACCACTTAACCACTTACCCAGAGTTTACGCACTCTTGTTTGCGCACTCTTGGAAACATGGCGAAACATTGGTAGGTGTTTCCACAACAATATTTCCTAGTTTGCCCAGGGCTTAATATATGACTAGAGGATAATAGGGGGCCCGAGGCCAAGAAGTAACCTTAAAAGTAATGATTGTAAATTCCTTGAGCCAAAGGCCAGTTATTAAATTATTTTAGCAGAAATTGTAAGTGAAACAGGGCCAGGTAAAAACGTGATGATTGGAGACGTTCAAGCTTTCGGTCACTATGTAATCATTATTTTGGCAGAATAAAGACTATAAAGGAATGAATAAGTACTTTGTAATGAAATTTCATAAATTTTATATTAAATGAGGTAATTGAAAAAGACTTGATGTTTTCATAAGCAGGAAGAGAATGACTGATTATTTTACATTGTAAACAGATCATCACCACGCTTCCTGCGCAGACGTTGTTAATGACCAGCGTACCGAACCTCGGTACGCTGGCCACTAACGTCTGCGCAGGAGGCTACGAAACACCCCAATTAACCCCTGGTTTCCATATGGTCGTAACGGTCGTAAAGATTGAGTCACGATCTTCTCATCAGCCGAAATACAACATTTTAGAACTGAAAATACGCGGAGTGATATAACTAGAGAATACTTATGATTTATATGTGGTTTACACGTATAAACTGTTACAAACTGGCTGTCGAGGAAGATCGTGACTCTATTTTTACGACCATATGGACACCAGGCTTAACTGCGAAAATCAAATAAATTATGCACCCTCAGACATGCTGAGACTGACCATAGACAATTCAAAAGACATGTCTTTTGGATTGTCTATGGACTGACTGCCCAAAAATGGACTGTTTCGCCACTATACTAATATCCCTATCTATCCATTGGGATCTATTAGTTATGCAAATTCATATTTGTCCTAGTCCTCCTAATTGTCTCAACCTTTCTCAACTACACATGGGAACGTTTACGCGTCGCATCGCCAAAAATGTTAGATTTAATTTAATAGTTATATATTCCTGTAACGTTGTGTCTATCTTCGTAAATCTTTATACTTTCCTAACTGTGTTTATCCTAACCCACCCTGCCAACTTGCCCTGTGACCGGAGCGCCCGGAGAAAACCCACGATTTTAGGCATAACGCGTTTAGAGAGTCTGATTTTCTGCAAAAACGGTCAGACAATATTTTTGTATTGATTTCCTGTATGATCGCGAACGTGCGACTCTATTTTTTAAATCAGGCGCTATAAACGCGTTATCGTCTAGGTTTTGAAATAAAACATTGACCAAAACAATTTGCAACAAGAGCCAAATAGAGTTTTCCAACAAAAACTTAAAAGCAGAGAAAATATAGCAATTTTTAGTTTTATTGCAGTCAAATTAGATTAGTCAAATTTGTATACGCGACATAGGGAAAAATATCAAACATGGATATTTTCCGTTCTAGGTCGAAATTTAAAATGCCCACGACAAATTATTATACAATTATATTTTAATGTGCTGGATCATAATCTTTTGGTTTTAAATTTAAAAAGTTAAAATTGAATGTCACGGAAGCCCGAGAAGACGGCAATATTTGCTAGCTCGCCTTGGTGTAAATTTCGTGTTTCCTGCATTATGATTAGCTGGTAGCGAAAAATTAATGTAAACAAATGCGCTGATTGGTCGACCACGAAATCTGCCCTTGTTCGTAAAGATAGTTTTAAATTCATTTTGTATAGATAGTTTTTAAAATCAGAAATGAAAACACAAAGGATAAACGCAAGCATTGCTGCAGAGTTTTTATGAGACATAAAAATTCCAACAGCGCACACCATGTTTGTACTACCCTGCTTCTAGCTTGCTCGGTAGCGTACCCATGACATGCCTGTATATTTAGTTTTTTTGCAGGTAGCCAAAAAAAATTTGCAGTTAGCCATGCGTGGTCCAAACTTGCCAGCTTCGCTTTAAGCTTGCAAATTGCGACATAGTACCTGGCACCGAAGAAAGTTTTTTGAGTTATTGTCAAAATTGAATGTCCGCTAATTTGCTCGAACCATTATTTGTAATAATATTCAATGAATGGAAATCAAGTAAGCTGACAACACAACTGTTCGAAGAAATTTTTCTCAAAAATTTTAAGTTTTTGATGGCATCGTTTGATAAACTTACGTCTTGAGTACGACTCTTATTAAATTTGGTCGGTAAATATTGCAAAATGTATTCAGAGAAATTGAAATGTTCTACTTTACTTAAGCATGCATGAGACCTTCTGTTCAAGGATTGCAGTTAGCTTCAGGCACTTGCAGGTAGCGCCGCTACCTAGGATCCTAACATCTGACAGGCATGACCCATGATGGTGTCATGAAGAAATTTTTGGGCGAAGGCGTGAGTGTATTAGACTGGGGTGGGTGTGTGAGGCATCTCCCAGCCGAGGAAAAGCAATCAAACTTGCTAGCTGAATAATAACAATATACGAAAGTTCAAAACGACTCTCAAACAAAGAATTGTAAAAAGAATAAAACATGACTGTTTGCTTACGTAGCGTTAAACCATTTTCTTCCATTTATAATATTCCTTGTTTATTTCCTAATTTTCGGTATAATTATGTTACACATTGTACAAGAGTTTAAGCTGCGCGTTCATACGTCAAACGACAAACAATTTTAAAAGCTTACGCTACATAAGGCAATGAAGAGTAATTAGGGAATTTGTTATCTTTTTAAAACTCTAATGTGTAATGTAGAAATTCGACTTTATTGTTTGCCGTTGTCCTCAAACGCGAAGCTTAAACTCGCTATATTGTTTGCCCCCCCCCCCCCCCCGACCAATCAAAATAATTTTCTCAACCAATTTAAATACCGAAGTCGTCCACCAAATCGCTCCCCCGCGTGGCTATGCCTCTGACCTTGCTGATGTGTTGTGCATGCGTTGTTTGAAATTGGTATAAGGTTACACCCTAACCTTCCACCCACTCTCTCACCCACAATCCTTCATCCTGGTGTTGTTGCAATATGATGATATGGCTATCTATTTGGAAGAGCTTTCTTATTCATTGTAGGAAGTGGTTTGCTAGTTCTTAATTCATTTGCAAGTTTCCATATATCACCTAAACTGTCTTCAACATCTTTCATTCCGTGTAGTGATTTCAGATTCATAGCAAAATACGCCAAGTCTGATTGAACCAGGCTAATAAAAGATGTATGTAATGTAAAGAAGTTAATCAGGGGTGGAAAAAGTATCGGACCATTGGTCCCAGAAAATTTTTTGAGTTCCCAGGAAATAATTGCAAGAAAGAAAAAAAAGATAATTGTAGAAATTTAGACAAAGGGAGAAATTCAGAGGGCAAATTCTGCCCAGAACCCAATAGAAAGAATGTTACCTGCACTGTATGTATGACCTCAGAAATGCTATTAGAAGCACATGCACCTATCTTACTAGTGCAATAGTGGATAAATGTAGAGACTACAGAATAATGTAACAAATGTTGTATGGCAAATACATTTTTAGCCAATCTGAGACACCTGATTTTCAAAATTTTCTGGGGCACCATGCTTCCAGACCCCCATGTACTTTAGTAGTGCCCATTTTTTGGCATCTGTAAATTTACCTTAGGATCAGTCCCCCCTGATGTATGTTATCTAAATTAGTTTTATGTTATATACGTATTATACCTTAAAATATAGCATGACCTTAAGTTTGACAACTTGTTAGAGTTACACAGTTACAGCTTTCGAGTGTCGACTTGATTATTCGCAGAAAATGTTTCAATGTTCTCTTGTGGTCCCAGAAAGGGAAATATTTTTTCCACCCCTGATTAGTTAATATTAAAGTGCAACTAACCCCAAATATAATTTTTGGTATGTGTAATATTCGGGTCATTCTTAGAAGAAATGTAATATATCTTTATAGTAAAAAACCTCATCTTGATCAACTTTTTCACTGTAAAAGTTCCAGATATGATGTCATTAGGTGAATTGTTGGTACAAAAAAACAAAGGAAAATTAATTTGCAATTCACCTAATGAAATCATATCGGGAAACTTTGACAGTGAAAAAGTTAATCAAGAAGGAATTTTTTACTATAAATATATATTACATTTTTTCTTCGAATGACTCAAATATTACACATACAAAAAAAAAATCGTATTTGGGGTTAGTCGCACTTTAAAGATGTTTTGGGTGTGCGGTATTACAAATGATTGGTTCTTAAAAACTGCCGGATTGCATTCCTACAATTAGGTGCAATTCGCGTCTTCATAGCTTCTCTGAACCATCACTGCATGTGGCATTAAATATGTCTTTATTGTTGCTCGTGTGTATCAAATCTCAAGTTAGGATTGTCATGTTTTTCTCTCGAACGGTATGCAATTACTGACTTACCCATGCTGTGGTCCAAAGTCGTTCTTCACTTTTAAACTAGCGATTTTCTTTGCCAACACATTCTTAAATGATTTCTTGACATCTTTCATCACAATCTACAGAAAATATAAATTACCAAAATGCAGTATATGGCATGAAACGTTCTATACTAAAACGCAATACGGCCAGTAATTTAATAACTTTTGGATTTCAAAATAACGGCCAGTTATTTAACTTTTGGATTTAGCAACTTTCAGGACCTCTACTTTCGGAAAGTCGGTACATTACATTACATTATTCAGCTCACTCCCCATTGGGGGTTTTCAGTGACCGATTACATCAATGTTACTTACTTGGTTACGTTATTTTACTTATTTAGCCTAGACTATTTATCTTTACAACAATAGACCTTATGCATATAATGACGTCACAAGGCTTGAAGCCCGCGAGGAATGCTGGTCTTAGTAGTCATCGCCCGGGAAAATTTCGATAGTGGCGATTTTGAATTGTTTAATTTTGATAACTACTAAGACCAGCATTCCTCGAGGGCATCAAGCCTTGTGACGTCATTATGCATAAGGTCTATTGAGGTATTACTTTCCTAATTGTGTTCAACCTAACCCACCCTGCCAACTTGCCCTGTGGGAGGAAACGAGAACACCCGGAAAAAACCCACGATTTCGGCAGAGCGTTAAATCCGTCAAAAAACATCAACAGCTCTACCAAGAAAGACACTTCGCTTCTTGGTACAAATTAGTTAAAGCTACTTTCAGGAGGCTGCAATATTTCTACGGTAACTGTTTCAAAATAATTACCTCAACTTGAGTCGCAGGGAATATTGCCAATAAAGCTTCGTGTAGTTTTGTGATTTGTTTCACAATATTTCTCATCACTTGTGACGGCATCGGTGGACGAACTTCCCACTAAAATGTAGCATAATGAAATGGTAACCGTTGCTATATATAATTGTGACAACACATCAATGATCTTAAAGCCATGTTTTCACTGCGAGTTTACGCCTGGCGTTGTCCTAATTTAGCTTTCACTGCAAAGTGTTCAGTTGATGAAAGCGAAAGCCTTTCAGGCCTACGGACTGCAGTGTACTCACGGCCGCTTTATAAGACCTGCATTATATACAGACGAATACTCCGTCCGAACGATCTTGTAAAACAAGAATAGCATGTCCAATGCTATACACACTGTGTTTCAACAAGTGGGGAATGTTGGCAAAACATTCAACATATATTGGCAGGTTGAGCTGTGCACCGGACTGCAGGAGCCGGAAAACTCCGGCAGAAAAAAAATTTAAAAAATATTTCATATTTCAATGAACCTTTGGTATTAAATGGAAAAATTAAGTTGTTGCTTACTAATAAATTACAATTTATATGTTGTTTTACTATATATTATTACATGTGTTCTTTTATTTATACGTCTATTAATAGTGTATGTTGTTCACTATAAAGTTTAATTACTTGCTGCGTTCCGTTTCGTGGTTTCGACTTTCCAAAATTCTGCAAGCGCATTGCTATTGCTTTTGATACAAAAATCCGCTGACCCCAGTGTATTTTGGGCGAAAATACACGCGTAAAAATGGAGAAAATCAACAACTTGTTGCAAGTCGATATCGACAGGCGTGAACAAGGTTGTGCGGCCCACTATGAACAGTATTGTCAACATGTTGTTACAGCATTGTTCAACTGTAACAACTTGGAACAACATTTTAATAAAACACAAAACAATTTACGTTTCGACTATAATTTAAGTCATCTTCAGAAGAAAGATTTCTTCTGAAGATGACTTAAATTATAGTCTAAACGTAAAGAATTAAAATGTTTACAATTTTCGGAGTGTCTATTGTTTTGTGTTTTATTAAAATACTCTATGGCAACCGCAATTTTTGGAACAACATGGTTAACAACTTGTTCATAGTTGGCCGCACAACATTGTTCACGCCTGTCGATATCAACTTGCAACAACCTGTGCGTTTTTAGCCGTGTACCACGCTGCCATGCGGTTTTACTTTTCACTTAAAATTTCCTAGCCAGAGCAGGAGTTAATTTGACTGCCGGAGCCGGAGCTTTGATACCCGGAGTTTGCACAGCTCTGTTGGCAGGGCAATGTCTTCTTATCTCGTTGACACTACAAGTCTTGACAGCCCTAGACTATTTTTCAGCCCCAAAATAGCTACTGTACAAAACTGGATGGCTTAACACGCGGAGTTAGGACATAGCACTGATATAAAGAAAGTTTCGAATGCTGTTAATATAAAACGAAACAGTAATTTCTGCAACGTTAATATCATACAGGACTTTTTATGCACTTGCAAGGGTACTGGGATCCAACAAGAGTTAACGAGAGTCGTAATTCCTTCTCCTTAGACCGTTATCAACCTATATTTTGATGAATTCCCACGTTTGGCAATTTTCAAGTGTTGCACAATTGAAAAATTGAGAAATTTGTAACATTTGCACATTGTTGAAATAAACTTTAGAAAATACCACAATCATGACCAGAAATATAGAATCTTTGCATGTCTTACGGTACATTTAGACATTTTGATTTGTCAGGTCAATTTCAAATTTGAAAACTGCATTACTAATGTCATGTGACGACACTACCAACAAAATTCTATGTTCTGCCTCAAACAATAACCCGCTTCGGTGATAATTCATGTCATGCACTCGACGTGCTTTCCTCCAATCAATTATAATAAGAATTGAAGAAAGTTCGCATGCAATTTTTTTCTGGACAGCCTCATCACCGTTTCCTTTGCGTGATTCACGAGTCGTATTTTTGATTTTGTATACTGGAGGTAGAAAGATAGAATAGTGAGCATGCATGTGTGCCTAGACTTGCTCCAAGTCTCTCTTTCATTGTCATATAGTATCGATCCACTATAGTGTACATTACATGACGTAGTACGGAGGGGCGGAGCGAGAAAGTGAGACTTGTCAACTTCGGAAAATCTCGGTTCAAAACTGAACCGAAAATGCAAGACTTGCTTTAATTGTTTTCCTTCAATTTCTTTCTGTATTATTTGCTATAATGGAACTCATGTTATTTACACTGTGCTAGATCTATTCATATAAACACGGACAGAAAACAATTAACGCAAGTCTTGCATTTTCGGTTCAGTTTTGAAGTTGACAAGTCTCTCTTTCTCACTCCGCCTCTCCATACTACGTCATGTAATGTACACTATAGTGGATCGATACTATATGACAATGAAAGAGAGACTTGGAGCAAGTCTAATGTGTGCCTTGCTATACGTATTACTGAATCAACAGAGTACATCTACACAACAGATTGTAGAGTCTCTTTTGAAGAACTATAGCAATGAACATATGTATTTCAGATATAGGCCGAGGGCCGTTCTGCGAAAAAGTGCTTAGAAAAGCAATTTCGTGGCAGCCCCCTAGGGAAAAGATTTTCTGTGGTTCAATGCATAGTACCATAGTTGGTCAATAACCACAAAAAGTTCCCAAGCAAAAAACTTGCCAAACACCGAGAAAATGAGTGATCAGTTATCCTCTATTAAATTGTATTACAGCAAGAAAATGTGAAATTTTGTATTCAATTACAACAAAAATGACTTGCATCATCAGAAAGCTTACACAAATCTACATATAAGACATTTAAACAGTTTTTTTTATATCTCAAATTGTTTTCGAGTTGTACGCTGTCAAAAACGCATTTTCGACCCAGTCCTTATTGCGACATTTTGGTCCAATTTTCACATTTAAAACAGCAATAACTCAAAGACTATTTGAAGGATCAAAAAACTGTTTAAAAGTTTTATATGCGGTTTTTTGTAAGCTTTCTGATGATGCAAATCATTTTTGTTGTAATTGAATACAAAATTTCACATTTTCTTGCTGTAATACAATTTAATAGAGGATAATCACTGATCACCAATTTTCTCGGTGTTTGGCACGTTTTTTGCTTGGGAACTCTTTGTGGTAATTGATCAACTATGGTACTATGCATTGAACCACAGGAAATCTATTCCCCAGGGGGTTGCCACGAAGCGAAATAATTTTGGCCAACGGCCCACGGCCTAATATTTATAATTGTATACTGACCGTTAACAAATGATCATCAAAAAGTTCTTCCATTAAAGTAGCCATTTTAGAAAAAATCTCTTGTCGATGATTATTATAATCCTATAAAATATAAAATATTGAGATATTCCATCCAGAATAATAATTAGAGAATAGAGATAGGTGCTAAAGGGCGATTAGTTCCACTAATTTTATTGATTTAATAATATAGTCAAACAAAGTACGAAGCTTTTTTTTTAATTGAATTTTTAATGAAATGTTCATCTGAGTAGCAGCTAAAAGCTGAAATATACAGAATATTTAACTAATCGTCATGCACCATTCGACTGCGGTTGTGTTAATTGTTAAAATCATGGCCTAAAAAGATGTCTTGTGTATGAAAAATCTTTCGCTGATGAACAAATTCACTTAATGGCCCTCCAAAAACCGTCATTTTCAATTTGCCGTCCAAAAAGACGGCTGCCTAAGACCTTGTACGGATATAGACAATTTTACAAAAATCGTATTGGATACTTACAAAAGCTAAACATATAATGTAGATTTGTAAGAACTGCCTCTCTATAATCATAACTATAAAAGGTATTTCATTACTTTGTACCTTTAAAATTTGGTCAAATTGTCCTAATAAAACGTACTGCTTGGGTGGAAGGCGAAGTTCAAAATGTGACTTGAACGTTGCGATGTGCAAAGTGACAACTTCTAAACAACGGGATGCTAAGGCTATATAATAAAATAGAAAAAAGAACCTTTAAATCTTCTAGATATCGAAATATAATTACTGAAGTTTATTTCCATAAGTAAAAAATATTAATTGTGAAACTTTGGGCCTTAGACTTCTTTTGCCTGCAGCGTGTGAAACGTTTTAGTGACTGCATGCCTATACCATCCAAATGGATTATTATCTCCATCCATTAATACCACATTTCATACTTGCTAATAGATCTTAATGTTGGTGTCACAGTAGTTATCGCTTGCAACAAAACAATATTTTCAATGACAGCACACATTAATTGTTTCAGTGTTTTACAGCCTCAACATGCAAATACATTGAAATTTTTCTTGCTTTAATTTTGTCACCCTATTGACATCTTAAGGCCGGTTTACAATTGCAATTTTTGCTGCAATTTTGTAGCGCGATTTTCTTCTTGAACGAGTAGAATGTGAAGGAGTAGAAACGTTATGAATGTTCTGAGTATATGTATACCCTCGAAGAAAATCGCACCTAAAATCGCAGCAAAAATTGCAAGTGTAAACGCGCCTTTAAAGTCAACTCAAGAATTCGTATTTAGACACTACTCTTAAGAACTCTGAAGCAAAACGAAGCTAGCATGTAAAATAGACTGCAGTAATGTATATAAATATAGATATATATACCCAAATGTTTTGCCGTGATTGTTTTTAAGCCAACAAGTTGGAGGGCTCCAGCACCAAGCACGAGTTGACATGTTCTGGAGTTAAACATCTGGAAAACAAAATATAAGAAGACATTGACGTTTCCGCATTCTATGGCAATGGACACTAGATAATATACGCTGAGCGGCCTTTCTTGTCGATAAGGAAGTAACGTAGGCAAACTAAAGACGTTAAAGTTAGGGACAACCGCGCTCTTGCTTGACCAGCAGAGATTCTTCAAATAATTATGGCGCATGAATTTTGGGCCTTCTTCCGTGAAGATAAAAACGACGTTAACACTATATCTGTGGATTTATTCAGAAAGATGCTGTGAAAGGTTGATAACGCACACTCATGTAAAGGCTCACTAACCTGTGAAAATACCTCCCATTCAAAAACCCAACATTCTTTTCTGACACTCCAATTAACCGACTGAAAGCTATGATTGCATGGGTTCAAATTTGGTTGCATCTCACAACAGTCAGGAGAAAAAAATTTTCTTGATATTTCTGTATTCAGCGTATTATTTTTATAAAGAAACCCCTCGGCTTGCTAGAAAAACCACCATACTTTTCAAATATGAAGTATTTAAAGTGGTTGTCAACACGATCATGGATAGTGAATAGTGGATTTCCGTCGATGGCCACAAAATAGAACATTAATGAGCTGCCAATTTTCCTCCCAAATTATCCATAAGGCTCCTGCCAATTTTTAACCAAAATTATCCATAAATTTTACAAGGAATTTTGCTAGAAAAGCCATAATTGACATGGAAACGGTATGTAATATTTTTACACCTCATGATATACAGACGGTCATAATTTAGCCATTATGTATGGATAAAACTTTTTTTACAATTTGTGAACCTTGATGAATATTTTGTGAACTTTTGAACATGACCAGCATGAATATTTTCAAAATTTATCTGGCAACACTTTATTCGCAAGCTGGTGTTTACTCCCACGCTTTTTCTACGGTTAGTGCAAATCAATCCTGATATAAGTAGTCAAAACGACATCTTCTAGCCCAGCAAGACAGAAATACAAAGACGACAATGCACAGGAATGATTTTATGAAACATCACTCTAGGGATGAGCCGATTAATCGGTACGGCCGATAAATCGGCCGATATTTGGCGTTTTCAAAATAATCGATTATTTTTTTATAATCGGCTATTGCCGATACTCGCAATTTTTTCGTTTTTGTTTAAAAAAAATAACTCTACAATCTAGTAATCTACACTCCGTCTCGTTTTTGACACTTTTGTTGTGCGTATTTAATCCCATATTCATTAATTTGTTTAACTCGTACAGTGACCGATAACTGTCCAATATGAGTAAATATTTTCCGGAACACACTAAAACTAGAACGTCAATTTGTGGCGTATACACAAGTATTAAAAGTTGTCAAAAAACCGTTAGCCGGCGCTTGTACCTCGGTACACAGAAATATCGGCCATAGCCGATTAATCGGCCGATTATTTTTTTATATCGGCTCCGATATATCGGATCGGCGAATCGGCTTTTTTCTGCATGGTATCGGCTCATCCCTACATCACTCCTTGTGTCATTGTGTGAAATTTCGCCTTCTGAACGTCAAGCATGATATTCTAGTGTGATGTATATACAGATGAAAAAGTTGAAAGATAATATATACCCTGGATTCCTGAGGCCCGAGGAAGGAAACATTTTGCATATATGAATTATAAAACCCATATGGTGGCAATCTCTGATTAAAATTGTCAAGAAGGTAAGAAACTACCTTTCAAACAAGCTTTCAAAGGACAATGTGTTTTTCCACCTCAAAATAACTAGTGTTAAGTCAAACCTTCATAAGTTCAAACAGTTTCGTCATTATATCTGCGGCAAGCATAGGCATCAAATCAACACAATGACAATATTCCACTATCATATTGAGAACAAGTAACAAGGTTCTAAAATTGAAAAAGTACAAGTGTTTTACAAAAGGAAGCAAAAGATTGCAGGTAAATTTGTTCCACGCCAATTTCTGATCAGGAGTATCCTTATACCAAGAATTATGTCGGCGGCGTTCTGTTTTTGTAATTCTTTTTGTTTTCTAAACTGCTACAGAGCACTGGGCTTAGATCGTTCTTTAGAGTATTATTGCTTTATCTGTCAAACATATTGAGAACTGGCGGTCAAAAGCTCAGATTATGCTCGGTGGAAATTGCTACCAATTGTCTGGTTGTATAATTTCGTTCTAAAATTAGCTTATTTTTTACATGATATTATTATCTGTTTATTAATGAAGTGTTTTGCAGTAAAAATTGAATTACACAATTGTTCCTATGTAATGTAATATATATAGACATAAAGACTTACAGTATAACATTATATTTACATAATTACAACATATAGAGGACTAAACTAGGACAATTACGTATATTTAATGGTAATAAAGTTATCGAAACGTTCAGTGAAGGTTCTCACAGTTCCACTACTATTTTGAGCTACAGTACACGTAAAAAATAATCATGTTCGATTGTTCGTTAAAGGACCGGGAGGGTCTGATTATATTATAGACTGGAATGTTTTTACATGCTTTCTTCCGGGTTGAGTTGATAACTCATCCCTTCGACATTCCAAGGTTTTAATCTTTGAGGTCTGCAATGCTTCATAATAAAATATGTCAGGGTATATAATCTTAAGATAAGTGCTCTCTTTTCGACTGACTCGAGATGAGAGGATAGGTAATCAGGAAGAGCTGCCCATACTGGGGATGCACACTCAAGTATGGAGCGAATAACTGGGCAGTAGATGGTTATATAAGATCAGTGAGACCCAGGCCTGCTTTCTTCAATAATCGGAGGGCAATGTCTTATATCTTCAAGATATGGTCAACGTGGGTATTCCAGGTAAGATCTTCTGATAGATACACACCCAAGAGCTTAAAGCTGTGTACTCTTTCAACGCAAGATTGATCACATGGAATTCGGTATTGAAGAAAATATATAATCATTTCTTTACTTTACATATATGGGTGAATAATTATACACTTACCCCGCGACAGCAAATTTTTCACCATTAACAACAAGGTGGCTCGCAGGTGGTTTACGAGAAGAAGAAAGAGATGACGCTAGAAACAAACAAAACGCTGTGAACATTTTGCGTCGAATCTTTATCAGTGCTTTACATTACATCAAAATAATTGAGTATACGAAGAGAAATCATTTTATGAAATAAAATTTGAGAGTCACCAATGTCGTTTTCGAGTTAAATTGAAACGTCATTGTTGCCATAGCAACGGTAGTTGCGTAACTTTTGTGAATAATTTCGAACTCCTTAGATGTTGTTTGACATAAGTATAAGATATTGCTTTTTGTTGTCCAACAAGTAATACTTGTCGAAATATACGGATCTATATAGCAAATTTTCCGTTTAAAAAAAACTGTATCGAGCCACCTGCTAGTTCAAAGTGTAGTTATTTTATAGTCATTGGCAGCCCAACAGCTAGGCCTGCTGTGGACGAAATCACTCAAGTTATTCCTAAGGTTGGCAAGTAAATCATATAAAAAAACTCATTAATAATTCATGAGGAAATGAATTATTCATAGTTTTCGATCGTTTCAAGATTGAATTTCTCCTTGTATTTTTCAAGTAATATATACTTTCATATAATATGCAATCTATGAATTTACCTTGTTTATTTGATGGTAATGAAAGTATTTCACGCTCGCTTGTTGGGACCCCTAATAAAATTTTTACAAAAAAAACAGTTAATATTTTCACAACAGAAAATAGCGTTTTATGTCAGCAATTTTTAATTTTATGTTTTCTATTATAAAGGAAATATTTTCCATGCACACAAAAAGCAAATTTGCATGCATTACGCTCAAGAGAAATAAGTACGTACGAATATACTACTTTTACCTAACATGCATGCAGTGCTAATAATTGAGCGTAGTGCCTATTAACTTACCATCTACTAAAGAATCAACGAGTGTCTGAAATTCAGCCGGAACATCAGCTTGTTTCCATCTCTCATTGTCCAATATTAAACTGCAAAAGCATAAGAAGTAAAGGGTTTTTGTTATTTTGTACATGGAAATTGACCATTTGCGTAATAGACTAAATTTTGATCTCAACAAAAATTTCATCAGAGCTTGAAAGAGCATCACAAAATTAGTAATAATCCAAAGTTTCGTTGCGAAATGTTGTAAAATGCGGAAAATATAGCCTTGCGAAGTTTGCAATTTTCAGTCATTCTAGATTACAAACGGGAAATTGAGGCTGTCAATTTCCCGTTTGTAATCTAGAATGACTGAAAATTGCAAACTTCGCAACGCTATATTTTCCGCATTTTACAACATTTCGCAACGAAACTTTGGATTATTACTAATTTTGTGATGCTCTTTCAAGCTGTGATGAAATTTTTGTCTAGACTTGTTTAGATCAAAATTTAGTCTATTACGCAAATGGTCAATTCCGAGCCGAAGTTATATACAATTTGTAAACATAACCGGGAGCAGACGCGGAAAATGCAAATATAGGCCACCTGGCAGGAATGGAATCTGCGGTACCGCGCTGCTGATCTTAAATCTACATTTCAGAAAAAAATTGCGTGCATATATTATGCTTATATTTATAAAGAGCCTGCTAAGTATGCCGGCTAATGTATATACTACAATCTAAAGCATATTTTACAAATATTAATTTGGATAACTAAACATTCGAACTGTGTATAAGAGTTAACAACTATTTACTGAAGGGCTTGCATCCGGGTTCTTCCATTAATTTAATTTATTGTACGATCATCCTGATTATGCCTGTCAGATGTTGGGATCCTAGGTAGCGGCGCTGCCTGCAGTGCCTGCAAGTAACTGCAATCCTTGGTCAGAAGGTCTTATGCATGCTTAAGTAAAGTAGAAAATTTCAATTTTTCCGAATACATTCTGCAATATTTACCGACCAGATTTAATAAGAGTCGTACCCAAGACGTAAATTCATCAAATGATGCCATCAAAAACTTAAAATTTCCTGTTCTATGGCCGAATCTTATTCGTCAGCAAAGTAGCAAACAAGACTGTGCCCGGTTCAATGTCGCAATTTGCAAGGACTACGCAGGGCTAACTGAAAATGTTTTTTGGCTACCTGCAAAAAAATTAAATATACAGGCATGATCCAGATTAAATTTTTTAATTGTTTCTGACGTTTCGGCTACCTATACGGCAGCCATTATCAAAGACGTATTGCAGTTACAAAAAAATTTACAGTGATAATAATTTTATCTTGCGTCAAAATGACGTGCGCGTGTTCGTGAGGTTGCTTGCTCGCGCGTGCGTTCAAGGCATGCGAGCCTGCGTTCATGCGTAATTAGTCCAGCGTATGCTCCTGGCATTTCGCGGCAAATGTTGATGCTGTTTTCATCGCATTTCGTGAACCAGCTTTCTAAGAACATTCTCTCATCCTCCAAACCATTAAATTCAATACAAGTGGCTCCCTCCCAATCAATTCTAATTTAAATGAATACAGTACGCACGAATGGAATTTGATGCCTTGTGCGGGCGCTGCATTTACTCATCACCACAAATAATTCTAATAATTATTCACATCCAGTTCTTTGTAGGTTTGCATGGCGATAAAACATATAATAGCTTTGTTTGTGGAAACACCACGTAAACCTATTACTGCATGCAATAATAAATTTACGTGGTGTTTCCACAAACAAAACTATTATATTCATATCCAACTATCTCTTACAGGTAGCCAGGCCCATTACTACTAACAAATTTACAACATCGGGAGGCCATAAACATTATACCCCTTACAGAAACTTTGATCGGGCCAAAGTGTTGTGTAGTGTCCCCCGACATGACTTAACAAGCAAACATGAAGAAAAAAAATGAAAGTGTGTGTTGTGTAACGTCGGAGAAGGACACTTTATTCAAGCACATGTCTTTTATACTGTTCAACTAATAATAATATACATAAAGATATTACTCGACTGTGATTGGTTGATTTCAGTGCAGTTAATCCCAAACAGCAGTGCAATGTTCTGTAATCACAGTGCAATTTTCTGTAATCACAGTGCAAAAATCTGTAACAAACTAATCTGATTGGTGGAAAAACATTGTGATGATTAAATCAACCAATCAGTTTAAAGCAATTTAGTTTAAAGAAGTAACGGTCACAGATTGCTTCAAAACAAAACAAACATGGCGCCGCGCTACGGTAAAGTAAAAGTTGCTTTCGCGTGAAAAATATGGCTTTTGTCTTTATTTTAAATGGAAAAGCATTGACCTTAAACAAGACTAACAAAAATTACATAGTTGAGTGGAATTTTCAAGCTGTTAGCGTTGCATAATGTGATATAACAAAGCCAGGAAAAGTTTGCCGGTGGAATGTTCGCTATAAACGCGTAAGTTAAAACTACAATTGTCTCGAACATTTTTATGTAAATTATTAATAAGTAATAGCACGGTTTCTCGTGAAATTTGGATAAACATGCACTCGTGAGTTTTTCAAAGACATCAAATAGCACTCGTCCTTCGGACTCGTGCTATTTTGAGGTCTTTGGAAAACTCACTCGTGCATGTTATATGCAAATTGCACTCGAAACCATGCTATTACCTATACTTATCATAAGCATTAGCATATGCTAATTAACAAATATTTTAATAATCCTGCAGAAAACCATTCTCTCCTTATGCAATCGTAGAGATTTAGTCATTCTCTGATGTATAGATATTCTAAATCCTACAGTTATACCTTTACACGTTTTAGCAGGTTCTTCATTGTTAAAATCATTTACATGCATTAAAGAGTTTTATTTGTCAAATATATAATTGTTTTGTGAATGTCGTTTATTTTTCTTCGCCCCTTTTCACGCACCCCTATAGAAATCACTCTTTTGTTGTTAAACGTGGGTTGTTGTTATACCTCTGGGAATTTAAAAAAGCTTCTAAAACAAACAGCAACACAAAAATGTCAAATTACAAATTCATCTTACAGTCAGTTCGAGTAGGAATGGCTCAACTGACTACACAGCAACGAGTATTTGTCGTAACAACTTACACGTTAACGCATAGTATATCCGAAGTGTTAAATTATTTGGACAACGGGAAGTTGTAAATACTTCCGCTGTTCATGTACAATTAAATTAAATTCCCAAAGGTGTAATAACGCATAAGAGTGATTTCTAAACGGGGACATTTTTTGAGAAATAGTTACTTTTGTTTTCCCTCGAATCTCAAGTTCACCGGCTACAAATTACAAAATATCCCCTTCCTCCCTTGAATATTTTGATAGATATTCTTTAAATCTTTAAGACTCGACCATCTGTAATGGTTCAATAGGAAATTTATCCCAACTCAAAATGCAGAGTCAAAAGTCCGAACTGGTCTTTGATATATAACTCTATTGTAAGAATTAAGACACTGCACATGTAGGCGAGATTCAGAAAAATTATAGAATGAAAATGGACTCTCCTTCACATTTGGAGAAAAGGGGCTACAAAAAGCAAAGTTGATTTCTAGCTATACCATTACCTTAATTTTTGTTTCTTTTCTTCATGAAATCGTTCAACAAATTTCTTGGCTTGTGTTACCAGGATAGTTCTCAATACACGACTGTGGCGGCCACATACTGCTTCGCATTCACTGACAAACTTTTCAACAGATCTCGAGAGGCAAACAAATTCCGTAGATGCCAATGCGTCCAAATAACCAGCCTGGGATTAAAGATTAGCACATGTTGATAAGCCCTGATAGCACAGTGCAACAACCATGTTTCTCAATTTGGAATATTGCGCGTGGAAATTGCAAAGCCGAACAAAACGCGTGTCATCTCCACTTTGCAACTTGTCATGACGCAACGAAAAATTGCGAGGCAAGTTGGAACAGAAGTTGAACCCCAGTCTACTTTTCGCAACGCTGCGTATACTAGTATGATTTAATCATTCTAATTGCTTAAATGGTGCGAATAAACATTTCTTCTTCTTCTTCTTGATTAAAACTGATCATATCATGCCCGAACAAGTTAACAGTCTTCGCGAGAATAGAATTCCCTCCCTTTAATATAATAGCACTGAAGGTAATAGGACTATTGAATTTGTTATCTGGCAGGATTAATTTTTCCTGTCGTCCCATGATGCCCTGTGTGCATTCACCAATTACCACATGCCTTACATTTTTCGGGTTTAGGCGGGGTATTCTGTGACACATAATTATAGAATACTTATCTGGTCAATCTATCTATGGTTAGATTAGATTTAAATGGTTCTCGTAGTCAGTTTCAAAACATTCTGAATCATGAGAATGTGACCTACCTTAGCTCTAACGTTGATAAGTTTAACACAACGTGCTTGAGCCATCTCTCCAGCGCCACCAAGGATTTCTTTGCTTTCGTTTGTCAACTTTCCACATTGAGCAGCAGATATCAAGATATCGTAGCTAGATAAAATAAAGACTTGCTTAAAAATGCCACACAGTATTTATGAAATATCAGCCATTGAGGAAGCGTTCATAATTTATCGCATAGAACGCATTGCTGTTTTAAAGATGATGTCAAATGGGAGATCCATTTTGGAAGATTAGGCTCACATGCAAAGCAATAAACGTTTTTACACTAACGAACATACACTAGGCTCAACTACTTTAGCTTATTGGTTATTTAACAATTATTCGCCGAGGACGAAGTGATTACCGGTCAATATTCACCGAGACGAAGTCGAGGTGAATATTCACCTTAATCACTGAGCCTGAGGAGAATAATTGTTTCAGTATAAACTTTTAATGAATAAAACAAAATATCCAAATATCAGTTCAATTAAAATTCAGAAATAAAACTGTTTTCGGCTTTTTTCGGCCTATTCACGGTTACTGTCACTAGTGTTGCAGTGTTTCTTGTACGCACACGCTTTCAAAATGGCTTCTTGTGTGACTTTATTGCTTTATTACAAAGTTGTTTTTCTCGATTTCTGCTTAGAATTTAGAATATATTAAACACAATAACGGAATGACTTTTTCTGTTTAGCATCATTTTTTTCAGGAAATGACTGAGAAATTTGGTAAAAGGAAATGTAAAACTATATCGTTGGAAATAAAGTTTTAATAACATGCACTTTTCACTTTACAAGTTTCGAAAACACAATATATTATTTACTAGTCTGCTGGTAAATAATGCGTCAGATTTACTAGTCAACTAGCCAATCAGAACGCGCAAAAGCTCATTTTGATATGCAAAATTTATACTAATTTGGGTTATTCAGCGAATTCGAGTCATACTGTACACGACGAGAGTGAGTAGAAGAATTGTTTTACTATACAGAAAACTACTGTATTTACAAACTCTTCAGTATCGCAATATTTTGACAGTTTGGCAATGCACGTAGTTAGCCTTATCAACCTAACAAAACATTGCTGCTCACTTTTTAAATCGGTACTTCGAACCATACACGCGTAAAAACGCTCAGGTTGATGCAATACTGATGAAAAACAGGATTGAACAATGTTTTGCTGCCCACATTGTTCATAGCTGTCAACAATATTGAACAATGTTGTTACACCCGATTCGGGCTCAACAATATTGTTCAATATTGTTGACAAGTGTGAACAACGTGGGCAGCAAAACATTGTTCAATCATGTTGAGCAGCGGGCTCGGCGTTTTTTGCCGTGTAGTCAATAGAATATGAAGGTTACTTGATGTAAACATAATTATAGACCTCGTTATCTATGTTTTTGTCAAGAAATGGTCGGTTCATGGTCACGTGTATATTGTATTTTCGCTAAAGTAACCAATAGCTATGTTTTCATGTATGGTTGTTGCTGTTGTTTCGTTTCGGTAAATCCATTCACTGTTTAAGCTAAACATAAGTATTATCCTAGTTTGGGATAAATGTATAGTTGTATACCTTTCCACAGAAGAATCTTGTACAGACCATGATCCTGTACGATCTTGGCCAGCAGCTATAGCAAGTACATTCAGAAAGCTATGATGAAGAATCTATAAAAGAAACAATTTTTTATTAGTATAAATTTTGCATATCAAATGAGCTTTCGCGCGTTCTGATTGGCTAGTTGACTAGTAAATCTGACGCATTACTTACCACCTGGCTAGTAAATAATGCTTTTGAAAAAGAATGATTCGGCGAATTTGCTTTCGAAATCGACGAAATATTGAAAAAATCTTCCCCAGAAAACGAAAGAAGCACAAAATGTTGTATTTAACTTGAAAGGTAGGATTCCTTTATTATTTTACTGTGTCAAACATATTCACGGATAATTTAAAACTTATTTAAAACTCAGATTTCAGTTCAAACAAATAGCAAAAACACGGTCCGACAGTTGGACAAAACCTTACCGTGATATTCTTTTAAATCCTTTTTGTATTGCGTTTTCGAAACTTGTAAAGTGAAAATGTTATTAAAACTTTATTTCGAACGATATAGTTTTAGATTTCGTTATGAACGTGAAAAAGTCATTCTGTTATTGTGTTTATATTCTAAGGAGAAATCGAGAAAAACAACATTGTAATAAATAGCACACATTCATTCAAAACTACCATGGCATACTCTTCCGTTAAAGTATAAGGAGAAAATGCTCTCGAGTGAGATATATCATAATTTCAGAAAAGCAGAAAACTCTGTCCGCCGCCACTCTCCTCCGCAGAGGCTTTGTGTTTTGTTTTGGGTTTTTTCGAAATTTGCAGGCGGGATAGTCGCGGGCAAGACAGGCTAGGGAAAAATTATAGGGAAAAAATAGGGATGAAAGGGGAGAAGCGGAGCGTGGGAGAAGACGGACTAGTCCTGTCACTCCCTGCGCTAGTCCCGTCACTCCCCCCTAGCCTGCCTAGCCCGCGACTATCCCGCCTGCAAACGTCGAAAAAACCCAAAACAAAACACAAAGCCTCTGCGGAGAAGAGTGGATATCAATCACGTGACTAAATTTGCTGATTTGAAGCGGAATATGAACAACGGATCAGGCGAATATTTTATGAAAAAGCCATCAATGATGATATTGCATCACAATAATTTGTTTGCCCGAAACCCGTTTACCGGACCGATTATTCACAAAACTTTGCCGTCTTGGTCGCCCAACTATGAGTATATTTCCCCATGAGAAGCGGTAATCATGACATGACAAAGTTCAATAAAAATAAATTCATTGCTTGTTCAGAAGTAACCTTGACCTTATTTCGCAACCTTATTATCGCGTGAACAATGACAATTAATAGTGCATAATTATGTAGATTGAAGAAATCACTTTGCGTAAGAAATCACTTTGCAATTCTTAAGCATAAAAGATTTTAGGCCCCTCGGAATTGAAATCGAATTGCTAATAGATCATATTACTGTTGTTGTCCATTCCCCAGGCGCCTAAAATCTTTTGTCTTTAAAACAATGTCGATTTCTTGGGCAATTCCAAGGTTGCGTTTTTTTATACACCCTGTATAGCTAGGCGAACTAGTAAACAGTCAGTGTAAAAATTAAGATTGATACGATTCGTATACAGAAAAATAAAGTTAAAAGATAATTTCGACTTCGAACCATTGCTTGTGCTGTATAGTTCTGCGTGCATTTGGTTTAGAGACGATTACAGTGCTAAGCTATAATCTACAGGCTTGCATGGATGCATGAATGCATGCGTATAACAAGAAAATATGCAGTGTATTTAAAGCCGAAAAAGAGCGTATAATCAACTCGTTTTTCTCGATAAAATATGCATTGTGTACATAGTATGTATATTAAGGAATAATTTACTATCATTTTAGAACAGCAACGGACGATCAAAACAAACTCATTTGAATAAATGCTTTAAAGAAAACAAGTCGCGTACAGGTTTGATACAGTTTTAGGAGGCGAACACTTTTGAGTGGAAAGACTTAATAATATAATGATTCATAACTTTCTCCTTGTTATATACTAATCTTTATATATGTGTATATTTATAATATAGTCATCCACCGTATAAGAGCTATTCAGCAATCTGTTTGGATGAGCTCATATACGGCGAGTACCGAATTTCATTGAATTGCAGGCCGCATCAACATATTTGTCTGGGGTATTCCGGGTGGGGTTTTGGGTGTTGTAGGGGTCCGGGTTATGGAAACACCCATGCATGCATGTATTTGATATCAAAGATATCAGGTTAGAGCACAAAAATAAAATTGTGGAAGACATATTAATAAATATATGTCGTTATAATTGGCACTTATATTGATTCCATATCAATCTATAAAGAAATCATACCTTCATTCGTTTAAGCATTTGTAACACATTTGTGAAGACAACTTCTAGCATATCAAACCAGCCTTGGAAATCCAGACCTTGCATCGCATCACGTAAACCTTGACTGTTTAATTAATATGAAACATGTATAATATAGTGTGAATTAAGTCATGTTAAACTATAGTAATGTTAGAAAACTGTATATAATAGAAATACCTGTCATCAGTGACGGAAGATTGAGATATAAAATTTCTTGCAGTCTAAGGGAAGAGAACAGATTTAATGAATGAAACATATATACCATACTCAAATGCTGTAAAATGTTCCGAACGCACCAGCCATGAATGAAACTGTGTCGTGGCTGACGGAAAATCTCTATTTTGGCAGACGTATATAGAGGAAATGACATGCATCTTCAATACTCTTCATGACAACTTAAGCTGGCGCTGTCTTGAACAATGCATGTAGTGAAGCAAGCAGGCAGGAATTTTGGCTGCTCTGGTCAATAAATTGCGGGCGCAAGCAAAGAGTTCTTTTACGAATTATTAAAATGAACAAGAATGCGTTTTTGAGTGTCTTTTTGAGACGGAAACAGATTTGCAAAGAACATAAGTTTATTTAAAGTTTGTGGAAAATAGCTTTGGATAAGAATTTGAACTGTAATCGGACAATCATATAAGCATTTATTTTTTTTGCAATTATTCAATCGTATAGGATTCCACGATTTAGTCTATACTAGGATTAAATGATTGAGTCATAGGATTAAATGGTTAAATTTCAGGATTCAACTATTTAATTATTCAGCCTAGATTAATCAACGATTCAATCATAGAATTCAATGACACAATCTTAGGATTCAATGACTCAATTTTAGGATTCACTGACTCAATTTTAATGAATGAATGAATGAATGAATAGTTTGTTTAATAAAAACATCATCTGGCAGTCAGAAGATTGAATTACATGACGTTAAGTGTTACAAGGTTATAAATAGTAAAAAATTCTATATTACAATGCAATTTAAAAATTGTTAATATATACTATATATCATATACTTAAATGTACTAATCTATGTGAGCTAAAAATTCTAAAATGTTCAAGGAACATCTAATTTGTAATGTTTCTTAGCATAAAAGTTGATAAAAGAGTTTCCGAAACGATTTGTATTTGCTGGTAAAACTTCAAAAGATCTTTCTTTTCGTAATTCTCTATTGCCTGCTTTGGATGGTAAAAGTTTGGCAAGTTTATAATCATCATTTAAAACAATGTCGTTGAAGAGATTATTGGATAGATACTCCCGTCTGTTTTCAAGAGTGGAAATACCAGCGATGTTAAGAGCCTCGTCGTAAGACAATTCATAGAATATTATTTTCATTGCTCGCTTCTGTATACGTTCAATGTTTTTTGCAAGATTTCGTGGCAGGGAACTATGGAATAATTGGCACGCATATTCGAGGACAGACCTTATACAGCTGCAAAAAAATTTGACCAAATCTGCCGAAGCGACATCAGCACGTTTGAGTTGTCTCAACAAATATAAACGTTTAGCTGCTTTGGAGACAATTGAATTTACATGGTCTATCCATTTAAGGTCATTTCTTAATATAACTCCAAGCGATTTGATACTTGTCACTCTTTCCAAATTTCGGTCACCAATACGTATAGGTTCAAAAACAGGTGGTAATCGTGAAAAGGATATTACCATTTCTTTGCATTTAAATGGGTTTAGTTGAAAGGAATTGTCCATAGACCAAGTAGTAATATCATCGATATCCATTTGTAAAGTACTTTGTTCGTTTTTTTCAACAATTTCAGAGACCGTAGTATCGTCGGCAAATTTCCACATTTCTGAAAGGTGATTATGTAACACAAGGTCATTTATCATGGCTAAGAATAGCCAAGGCCCAAGTCGTGTGCCTTGAGGGACACCAGCTGGAACTTGGAGCCAGTCTGAGAAACAATTATCACTTAGTTTGACCCTTTGCCATCTATTACGTAAAAAGTCAATAATCCAGTTAACCACACAGGGCTTAATACCAAGGCTGAATAATTTCGCAACTAATGTGGTGTGATCCACCATGTCAAATGCTTTTTTATAGTCAAGAAATACAGTGCGAACAGATGAACCACTTCCATCTGTTGCACTCAACCAACAATGGAGCATCGATATCAAGGCAAGTACAGTGGAAGAATTTGGAATAAAGCCAAATTGTTGGGGATCAACAACCTTTAACAGAGTGGGTTTTACTTCTCTTTCGATTACAAGACGTTCCGCTATCTTTGATAGAGTGGAAGTTAAGGAAATAGGTCGTAATTCCCTTTCCAAGTCTTTGACAGTAGATGTTTTTGGTAAGGGGACCACATCGGCCAGCTTCCAAATTTGAGGGACTTTACAGCTTTGAAAGGAAGAATTGATTATATTTGCAACTGCATGGTGAGGCGAGAATATCCGAATAGGTTTTTAAAACCCAATTGGAAATACCGTCAGGGCCACTGGAACGCAATGTATTAATTTCTTGCAATTTTCTAGCTATAGTTGACTCGGTCACAATAATAGGCGTTTCATCGTTGTGTACAATTACAGCCGTATCTTCAGATAATGGAACATAGTTCTGTATCACATTTATAAAAGCATTGTTAATTTTATTACTGAGGTTTATGTCTGTCTCCTGCCATAAATCTTGATGGAGGCGGTCTTTTACACTTTTGTTGTTTAGTTTAGATGTGCCACACAACTGCTTCACTTCCCGCCACCAATCTCGGGGGTTAGTGTTACGTAAATTATGAACTTTAGATTGATAATAGCTCTTAGACAACGTTTTCGTTCACGATTAACTTTATTACGTAACATTTTAAAAAGAGTGACATTACCAGATGCAAAGGCTTTTTGTCGACGATTTATCAGTGATTTCAGATTGCTATTAACCCATGGTCGATCATTAGGGTGGACTTTTATTGAACGTTCAGGCATAATTAAGTTCAAACCATAGTTTATAATGCTAGTTAAAAAGTATAGTTTTTGATCATTTGAGGGTATGGACGGTAAAATGTCCCATGGAATTTCCTGGA